AACTTTTATACAGCTTACATATCTCTCCAATTTTCAACCACCTTGACATAGCATAATATTCTGAAATAAATAAATTCCCGCACAATCACCTCACAAAATAGCCGTAGAACCTATCAAGTCCGTAACTGGCTTTTTGATCAGTCACTTCAATATCTAGACTTCCTTCCGCTGCCGTTGAACCACGAAGCAACGCCACCCCTGCCGAAAAAAACTCCAAAACTACTACGAAACTAAAATGACTGACTAATACAGAGTTGATTACTCAATTATTCCCCAAAGACTCCAAGCCCCAAAAACTTAACGCTTGCAAAGAGGCACAAATTAAAAAAAACAAAACAACGCCAGCTTGTTCTTCCCAGCCTTATTTCTTCTCCCAATTCTCTATCAATTCACTATCTCTTATCTCTATTGCTCTGGAATTGCTCAGGACATCAACGATTCACTGCATCCTCTCGCCGAAATCTTACATTCGATCCACGTGAATTTCGATACTAGCTTGTCTTCTATCCAGTATCATCCTGCAAGAAACCTTCTAGCGAACGATCTTTCGAGCATAGTACCCCTGTTCCTCCGATCAACACCATGCAATGCCGAGCATCCTAGCAAACGCCAGATCCCCGATCTCTCCGCCGCTCTTCCCTTCCGAACCCTTACACACCCTACACTTACCATAGCTACACTACCACCCAATTCGATCCGCCAACTTACAATGTTCGTGTTATGCCCCCTGTTAAGATCCTGGCTAGAAAAAGAATCAGTCTTTAATGTTCCATGTTATTATTATTATTATTATATATTATATATTTAATATTATATATATATAATATTAACTTCAATTCCCACTGACGACGGCTATTAACTTCTTTCCCTCGTCCTCTTCTCTTTCTTCCTTCTCATCTTTAATTTTGGGTAAAATAATGAGTTTCCAAATTTGGCGAATTATAATGATTCTGAACTAAATAAAAAGTACGCAATATCTTCGCTCCCCACGTCATCAATTTTTCATTTTACTGTTTTTTTACGACAATAAATCTAAATGTTAAATCACTTCTTATTTAGGTTTACACATTCCGCTGCATAAATGCCTCTGCAGAATATATGATATAGTATTATTATATAACTACACCACCACTACCACTATTACCATTACTACTACCACTACCACACCACTACTACTTCTACTACCACGTACTACTACTACCTACTACGACGCACTACTACTACTACTACTACTTCACACTACCACCACCCACCACTACACTACTATACTACTACTAACTACTACTACTTACTATCCACCACTACTACTATCACACTACAACCACCACCACACTACAAGCCCCACTACTACAACCACCACCACTACTACAACCACCAACCACTAGTACTACCACTACTGACTACACCACCACCACATACTACACTACTCTTACCATACTACAACCACACCACCACACTACAACCCACCACCACGACTACTACCCACTACTACACTACACACCCACCCATACTTACTACTGACTACCTACCACACTACTACTATACTACTACACTACTACTACTACTGACTACCACCACACCACCACCACTACACTACGACTACTACTACACTACTATCACCACACAACCACCACCACACTACAACCCCACCACTACTACAACCACCACCACACTACAACCACCACAACCATACTACAAACCCCCACCACTACTACTACCACTACTACTACTACCACCACCACCATTACTATTACTACACACCCACCACCACCACCACCACCACCACCACCACCTCTACCCTACCCACCCACTACTCGTTTTATTTCCTGTATCAAGTATTACTCGCTCACACTTTTAGCTACTCCCCACCCACTGTAATACATCACGCCCACCATAAGACCAGAGCACGCCCCTTTCCTGGTTCTCCTCCACGCCCCTCCGCGCCTCCTCCCTCCCTCCCTCCCGCCCGCCCCCCCCCCCGCGACACTCCGCATCCGGCCCCTCTGCCCCCATTTCTCGCAGCGACCGCACCGCCGGTCGATTTTTCACCGGGTGATTCGTCTCATGTTCTGCTCTGCACTGCACCAATCCTGTCCTTGCTTCCACTGCGGTCTTCCCCGCCACCCCCGCCCTGCCCCATGTCTCTACATCGACAAGTACGCGGCAGACACTTGTAAACTAACATCATTTTCGTGTAAAACGTGCACATATTTTTCAGGTCGCAAAAACAAATATGTAACTACATTTTAAAATGCCAAGATGCCAGATCTAGCATGGGAAATGTACGGGAAAAGTTCAATACGTCGTTAAAGAGAGGAAATCAATTGATTATTTAAAATAAAAAAAATCTGTGAAATTGTGCCTTGATGAAATGAGTCTTTGGACAATCAGGGCAGATAGAAGTGTACAAACCCTGTAATTTCTCGTACAAGTTTTCTTGATACGCGAGCTCCCTGGTCCTCACTCAACGCTGAATAGCACGGATTGTTGAGATAAGTCTGATTGTTAAGATAAGACGTACGTCCGCCTCGGAATAGCACGTACTAATGCCAGTGCTGCCAATATCCACCTCGTACCTTCAAAATACTCGTTATCGCCCTGCTATACGCTTTGACGCGAGAAGTTCGATTGGTAGTTGAGCTGGTTGGTACGCCCTTTTAAACCGTGACGTAGACAAAGCCCTCTTCTCCCCACCCCGCCCGCGCTATGAAGTACCATGAAAGCTTGCGCGTATAGTAGCCTACATGCATTCAAATGTCTGCAATTTTTATATAGGTATGAATCAACACATTACATTTGCTGGGAGTAACATCATTATACGAACATTTACTTTTGTACTGCCGTTAGTCCATTGTTTTTGTTTCATTCGTTCAAAGTAAATTTATCCACTTTTCTATGTTTCAACTTTATCTGAAAATGCAACATCAGAACTTCAACATTTGAGAAATGCTTATAATCATGGTTAAACCGAAAGCAAAAACTTCTACTTTGTTTGTAAGAGTTTATATATGCAGATAAACTCTAATTTAATTGTTCTAGGAAGTTTGGTTTTGTCCCGCCTAATAGTGGGTTGCAGACCACTGTGCGCGGCGCGCCGCGCCGTGGCAGGGGACAGAGCCACGCCAACCGCCTGACCACCGAGCGCTTGTCCGCCGCCCAGCAGACGTGCAGGTATAATGACTGTGGGGAGGCCTCCGTCATTACATGAGGCGCAGCGTTCGAACTCAGGTCGAAGGCCGTGGCTTCACCAAGCAGACGTGCGGAGGTTTAATGCGTGTGGGGGATGGAAATAGGAAGACTTGAAAAACATGTCTGCTTATCACAAAATGTGAGGCTTTCCTCCATTGTAATTCATTACGTACTGTTTAGGGGAAGCGGGGGTAATAGGGGTCACGGGAAAATGGCAGTCAGCGATAAATTATCGATAAATATTGCAAACAAGCCATACTGAAAGCCAGAGACATGATTCTACCTACCATTAGTCATAACTATAGCCAATTGATCACCGCAGCCAAAGAAAGCTTACATCGACGATTATCGCGATTGTACCAGGAAAGCGAGTGGTTGATGTTAGGAAGTTCTCTCAGAAAAGAAGGTCTTACTCACGTGAACTTGGAGATTTCTGGAAGAATTAAAACTTGTTGGCAGGAAAGTACGTTTGCAAATAATTTGATACAAATTGCGAATAATTTTAAACGTTTAATAAAAGTTTATGAGTAGTTATGATAAAATGTTGGAGGTGGTCAGTGATTCTCATTTCAGCAGCGTGACTGCCATTGCTGCAAGCAAATAATTTATTGATCTGAATGAGTTTAAATGGCCCCATGGTGCTATTTACACAAGTAGCAAGAATGATTGAATGGATGAAGAATTGATCGAATGGCTCAAACACTTCATAAGTGACTTGGCCAACTGCCCAGGACCAATTGCTGATGATCTTGGACAACCTTGGAGGACACATTACTTTACACGCCTAAAATTATAGTAAATCAAATATATATTTCTTGAACTACTAATGTGTTCCTTTCGCTTCACATATCTTTAGTGACTCCCATTACCCACGTATGAGACGTTAATTGTGTATGTTGGGTAGTAAAAAATAAGCCCTACAAAAGAACTTCACCAATACTTATTATTTTGTTTATATACTACGTATAATTACAAGATCTAAACTAAAGAATCTTTATTGACACCCATAATTGGCCATAACACTAATTACAAACAAAATTATTTGATAAAATGATAATGCAGAACGTGAAATGAACTGTGCGGAGTTGGGACGGTTGTCTCCTGGGAGGTCTAGCTGTCATTCGCCCGGGCCCGCGCGTTCCCCATTCAAATAATATTCATAGCCTAATGAATAAAATACTTGTAAGACTTATCCACTTACGATCTCTTTGAATTTGCCACAGTAATATGTAGATTACATATATCTGCGGTTTAGGGTGCAAGTGAATGTGGCATTATCAGAGGCGTATCTACGAGGGCGTTCAATAAGTTATCTACCTGAGCATGAATATGAAATTTTATATTGAAAATCACCTCTTTACTTTTCAATGCAGTCCCCATGGACTTCAACACACTTGGTCTATTCTGCCTCCAGTGACCGAATTTCCTCACAAAGAAAACAAAACAAAACAAAAAAAACATAACAGCTTCCTTAACTGCTTCATCGTCAGATAATCGTCGCCTACATATAATTTTTTTTAAATGTTTGGAAACAAAAAGTAGTCACTGGGAACCAGATCTTTATTTTATGAAGGATGATAGTTGTGACCACTATTCCGCGAATGACAGAAGACATTCCCAAATGGAGAAGAGAACAAGGATAAGTTGTACGAAACCACAGGGTTCAAAATCTCTAATTTTCTCACGATGTTCGAAATCTTTCTTTTTTCTGTTAACCCGCACGGCACTGCACTTGCCATCTTCTCACATCAAGAGCTTACGGCAGCTGATTTTTTAATGAGGGCGAACCATACCAAGACACGTCCCAACTTGGCTGTGCACGCTCATCTCTCCAAGGCCGTAAGATACAGAGATAACTTCTTGAACGTCCCTCGGTGTTATTCAGGTGCCGATGGCAAGCATAAAATTCGCGCCCGTATCAGGATAATTCAAATTAGGGTTGTTATTATTTGTTTCAGTGGGTATAGTCTGAATGGCACCCCTGGTGAGTGGCGCCCTTGGCACATGCCATACCTGCCATACCGTAGCTACACCTCTGGGAGATAAGGCAGTAACTTCCCCTCTGATTTCCGTGGTTCCTTCGTGACGGCGGTTAGTTTGTTAAAGAACCTACCGCACCGCTACCGGCAGTGGTTGGGCGGGGAAGTAAGCAAGGGCCTCCGTTGGTGGAGGGAGTAGCTGGAGCTGCTCTTCTCCTCCATTTCACTCTACCCCTCCACCCGGCCTTCGACAAGACACAGGCATTTGTGGAGTGGAAAATAGAAAACGTGACCCTGAGATTATGATATTAAATACTCAATTAAAAGAAATGCGTGACCAGCAGCTACTCGCGCCGGCTCTGCTTGCGGAAATTCGGCGTGGAAGAAATTGAAAACGAAGAGGCCCAGAAGCTGGTCATCATGGTATTTCCAGCATGCCGATCATAGGGAAAGTCGCAATTAAGGCGAGTGTTCATTCAGCTTGACTGATATTGAGAAGAACCATCGGATAGGTCGGTAAGTGACAAAAACATGTCTGCCATTATGAAATGTGTTACAGGAAACATAGAGAACAATTTTCGCCTCAAAACCATTGCTGGGATCACGATCCATGAGGACATAAAATAAACACGAAACGACCAAAATTGTTATAAACCCGCTGTATATAATTATGCCACAAATATTACATGTGTACGGTTACTGATGTCAACAAATTCCAAGTTTTTGAAAAAATCGTGCACGTTATTTGAAAAATGAATAAATTGGTTGAATTGTAGATTGGCGGAGGTGGTATAAGCAGCAAACTATAAATTGAAAGTTGTTTAATTAAAATACATACCAGTTCTCCATCACTCCTTTCAGGACCCAATGGACTGAAGCCCATGGAACTTGCTTCTAGCTGTAGAGCTACTTATACAACTGTATTATTAAACTAAAATAGATATATTAATTGTCTTTGGTGTAGTATCCAAATGCTAATTACTTTAAAAATATTGAACTTTGTATTCAGAATTTTTTGTGTATGCACCATAAAACTCGTACTCCATCATCAGGTTCTGAAATTACATGACAGTACAATAAATTAAACCATTTTAACAAAATATATAAGGTAAAAATAATATATGATCATGATCGTTAAAAATTAATTAAGAATTTTTTACAAAACATAAGATTATTTTCATTAAGCAAACATGAAATGTCCTTATTATAATAAACAGAAGTTCTATTGGTTTGTAATGCCACCACCACAACTGTGGGCAACAGTGACATTAATTAATTTTTTATTAGTTATAGAGCATTTTTTAAAATATTATATAAAAAACATAACTATAAATATAGAAAGTTAAGTAAGCACTCAAGTAAGTAAGATAAAGCTCATCTCTGAAATCAAACATGTCTGCAAAAAACATAATCCATTTATATTCAAAGACTTTTGGCCAACGAGTGATTGTGAATGCAGCGAGTAAACAAGTTGTTTGTTGGTGAAAGGAGAGAAGGGGAAAGGAGGGAGTATGGGTGGGGTAACTTCATTATGTTGGGAGGGGAAGGTCTCAAGTAACATGGATTGATTACTTTAGAAATAGTAAAATAAAAAGTTATAAGAGATATTTGTGTAATCATATATAATTGTTGTTAAGTGGTAACAGGGTTTCATTAATCTAGAAAGAATACTATTGTATACATTTGTAAAGCAATTGGACTCTTATATGCATATTGTATACATCATTCAGTTTGATATTTAGAGTTCACATTAACCACCTATAATAATTCCCATAAGAATCTGTATGTTTTAAGACCATACACTTAGAAGACTATTGCTGATGTTATTTCTTTTGTCTACTAAGAAAAATGAGTTTGTGAGGACATCAGCACAATTAGTGCCCGAATGTAAAATCTTTGCTTGAAAGACAAGATTTTTTTTCTCAACTTGTGGCTTCTGATTTTTCTTGTAATTATTTGATAGCATTTCTTGTGGTTTTGAAGAGGATTTGCAGACTTTCACAAAAATTGCAACTTATTTTTTCATGAAAAATATAATTGAATTATTTACTGATATTTCAAGCCACTGTGAACTTTACAAAAATAAAAAAAAAACTGGAGGGTGGTGGCACAATTCTGGCTTCAGATTTAGTGATTGAAAATAAAACATTTTGAATACAAATTACTAGAGTCCAGATTTTAATGTAATTATATATTTTTTGTCTTTCTATATTTTGTCTTTAAAATTGTCATTTAGACGAATTAGGAATCCTAATACAATATCCCAAGTTTTTCATTACATGTTTTGAACTATATTTCATATTTTACATATTTGGCCAAATGTTTAATTATTTTACCAATTTTATTAAAATTCATTTTGAAAAAGGCATTAAAAAATTTAAAAAATAATTTTTACTAAAAACGTTCATCTCTTTTTCTTACATACATATATTTTTAATTGCTAAATAATGCGAGGTGCCCCACTGTCAAAATGCAGTCACAGGTCTCCACTGCATAAATATTGCATCAAGTACATGTGAGCACTGAGTCTATTATCTTTAGGAATAGAAAGTATCACTGAGCTCTTTTTTCCTGATCTGTAATCCCAATTTAGAAGAGATATTGATATAAATTAGAAAGTACTTTGATATTATATATTATCTCTTTTTACACATTAATTACACATTCTTAAAATTTTAATTAAAATTTATTTACATATTTTGCCTATTTATACTACATATTTTGCCACTAAAATTTATACCATGTAAAAACATGCATACTGCAGACAAGCTATCAAAATCATTTTTAGATGATGTTTATCGGCGAAGTGAGTTGTTTTTTCAAGCGGTTCATTTAATAAGCAGAAATTTAAATATCACAAATGGAGAAAGAAAAGAATTTCAAGCAACTGCTAGTGAAGATCCTACACTTAAAAAATTAAAATAATATCACTGTGACGAAAGGCCTGAATGTAAAGCAAAAGTAGACGAGAATGTGAAGTTTTATATTTAACTAAGCGAGAAATTAACAATAGTGAACAGTTTAATTTTTTCTAACTACAGACTAATTGCATTATGTTCCCTTACAAAATACATACTCAGTTTATTACACAAATCACACTTTGAAATTGTAAATACCAAAACAAGAGCTAGGAAAGCTGTCTAGTGGCCCGGACTCATGACAGACAGTAAATATGATAGGCAAATGTTCAATTATTAAAAGTACAGGTCTAAAAACAACAGAACCACTGATCCTTCATGATATACCAGATATACCCTTCAATAAAATAGCAACTGACATTTGGGAAATATGCAGGAGAACATCTAGTGATACAAGACTACTACATACTCCACATGGCTAGAAATTTTACATCTGAAAAATAATTAATCTAAAGAAGTCATCAGCAAATTAAAGGGAATATTTGCAATGCATGGAAAACCTAAAATAATTGTCAGTGATAATATACCATTCAGCTTGTTTGAATTTGAATAACTTGCTAAACAATGGAACTTCCACATGGTGACTAGCTCTCCACATTACCTTCTTGGTCAAAAAGGTGTTAAAGATCAGTAAGACTTACATTTAATGGTTCTCGAATATAGAAACACCCCAATCACAGGTTTAAGAGAGTCACCAGCTGAATTGTTACAGAACAGGAGAATGAGAATAAAAAGTCCTATGCCTTGATTCCTAAAAATAGACAGTGGTAACCAGGGAAAAAATTAAAAGCCTCACCATCTTATCCGAGGCAAGATGAAAAGGATGAAGTACGTATTTAGAGGAAACTCTATGTCTATTAGAGAATCCCAAATTATGAATATAGACAATTAAATAATTCATTTAATAAGAGTAATTTAACTGGTGAAGAGATTAGATAAGTTGTATGACACAGTGGCAAATAATCCCATAAATGCTGATAGAACAACAGAACATGAGACAACAAATTCATCCAGGTGCAATGAATGTCATTGGCAGTGATAACTACCAGAAGTGGAAGAGTTATTGAAGAACAAGTAAGGTTGAAAGAGTATGTAAAACACTGATAATTGATAAACAAACATAAGCATTGTATTGTGCGGTGTATATCATTAGGTCTTGTTATATTGCTATCTTTTCAGTGTGTCTTGTTCTAATTGAAATTATACACATTTGCCATATTTTATTTCAATTTTTTGTTATTATGTTTTGTCATTTTTATGGTGTTCTCTTGTATTGCATGTTGTGTCACTTTAATATATATTTTCTATACTGATATTTGATTTTATCTGATGGTTAATCATGTTGTAATGTTAGTGGACGGTTCATCTCATTTGCCAGTTGCAAGAAGATGTGATATAGAGATGTAGGCAAGTGTTTGTAGTGACAGCCTTGAGAAGCTGGAAGGTTTAGATAAACAGTTTTGAGATGGCTGTTAGAGACTTATCATTTTTTATGGATTCATTTGTCTATGTCTTACAATTTTCTGGCTCTTTCTGAAAATACTCGCCCTTACCTTGATTTATTTGGGCTATAGGAAAAATAACTCTCTTGGCATGGTATTCTTAAACAAGAGTAAGAAATATAAATGAATAAAAAATAATGTAATTGTTTGATTAAAAATGTATTCTTCATGGGCGGCAAACTGAAAACTCGAACCATTATTTTATTACATTTACAGTAATAACTATTAACAGAATTCCTATTCATGTTATAGAAAAGCTTAATCAATTATCCATAATTTTTGTATCTTAAATTCAGTCAAATCTGTAATTGAATATCCCATATACATGAACTGAACACAAAATTAAGTTCATCAAGCTACATGATCAGGATTCTTTCAAATTCAGACGGCTTTCATATTGCTCATTGTGTGTATTTCACAAATGTTCACTCCTGCCTGAGATGTGGCATAATATTTTGGGAAAACACATCCTATAGCTTAGATTGCAGAAAAAGATAGTAAGAAAAAAAGGAAAGCCCACACTTGTTTCTTGTAAGCCTCACTTTATTAAGCTACAAATTTTACCATTATCATGTGTTTTGATTTATGAATCAATGTTTACAATGTCAACTAAACAATACTGGTTTTATCAATGATATTTAATGCCC